GAAAAAGATAGCAAGTGCCATAGAGATAACGATCTCTATCCTTTACAGAGTCCCAGCCCTTGGTAACCTTGATTTGGGTGCCAGGTCACGAGGAAGCAGCCAGCCTCGCAAATAAGCTGCTCAAACACCATACTGTCCATACTTCGCCTTAATGAAGAGCTACGTAATAAACGAACTAAATAAATGGAAGAAAGACCAATTTTCCACATATTGGAGACAAACTCCAGGACTGAGACATGCAAATAGAGTCATTACCACATCACAAAAGAGGACAGAACAACTCCTATCTACGTAGGAACAGAAATTATATCAAATTCGTGGTCGGAGTGCTCACCAGACAGTCCAGACACTGCCCAGTGAAATATCACCTAAAGGCAATCGAAAAGCGGAAGACGTCAATTGCAGATTTTGAGAATCCGTAGCTGAAACCACAGAACATTTACTCTGCGACTATCCGGCCCAACTCAGGAAAATGCTCGAGGCGTGTGCCTCCCTTTCCCCCAAGCAAATAGCTTCCTTCGCAAAAAGCCTTAATTTCATGGACACAAACTAAGAAAATACAACTTACTTTTATAGTTCAAAATCATTTTGTCGATCCTACACATATGGTTTTTATTTCTAGATATTGAAATATATTCCAGTTATTTCATTTTTTTGTGTACAGTGCGACTTCTACAACTCAAACAAAAAAAAATACAAAAAAAAGTTAAATACAAAAGTTGTAGGGTTTTATCTCTATTATCTTTTGCACATATCAAAATGGCCAAATGACAGGCGCTAACTGTCATGATGACAGCACTTGCATTTTTTTTAATGGAACTCCCTGTATATTTATTGCTAGAATGATAGATTTTTTTGTTCTGATTTCAAATATACTATATATGTTGATATTTTGGTTCAGCTGTTTTTGCGCTATTTCATTTTAAAATTGCATTGAGCAAGCCTCATAATTGATATAAGAAAGAAACCGGGAACAGACTTAATTTAGGGTTATGTAAATGCATTTTTAAACTTGAATAGCGTAAGGACAGCTGCACCAAATATCAACGTATATATTCGAAATCAGAACAAAAAAATCTATCATTCTAGCTAGAAATATACAGGGTGTTCCATTTAAAAAAATGCAAGTGCTGTCATTATGACAGTTGGCATCTGTCATTTGTCCATTTTGATATGTACGAAAGATAATAGAAATAAAACCCTATAACTTTTGCATTTAACTTTTTTTTGTTTTTTTTTTTTGTTTAAGTTGTAGGAGCCGCACTAATTATAAGGAACAGACCCTGTACATATTTTGTAAAATTTTAGAAGCCTTCAATATTTAAAATTTATTAAAAAACATTTTTTTAAAAAAAAATCCTGGACCACCTTTTTTGACGCCACTGCACTAAATTTTCGAGTGTTGACATATACCACGTTTTTCTATTTGGTTTTCTAAGGAGAACAGAAAAGAACGCATGCTTTCATCATTAACTTGGACACTTGGACCATAGGATTCGGTCAAAATGTCTGAATTTTTTATATGTTGGAGTTCTAAGTCTGTAGATCGAATTTGGGCAAAAAAAGGGGGGTCCTCGAGCCGTTTCGGAGCTACGGTTATCCATAGGCGTGCGAATGAGAGCCGGATTGCAAGCGTCGCCTTGAAAAGCTTACTTTAAAACACAAAGAGCAAACCATTCTTAGGCATAATTAGACATATTTGTTTAGGATATACTTATATTTAGCCGTTAGACTGAGACTGTGGCAAATTTATAGGGTGGACACTTTTTATTGGTAGTAACCCATATTTGATAATATCTTATGGGATATTTTCAAAAATACATAAGCTCATCGCTCATCTTTTATTAGGCATTTGCAGGGGTTAGTTTGTAGATACATAGACTGTTTAAATATAAACAGGGTGATCTATTATAAATGTCACCTATCACTAACTCCCAAGGTTCCTAAAGTTAATAGGTTGCCTGGTAATGGGTAACTTGATGACGCATCTGGGGAGCCTTATGGAGATTTGCATCATGTCGAGGCACCTCAGATGACGCCATAAAGTTATCAGCAACCTACCTCTCTCGAACAACCTTGACCCACTACTAACTTTTTCAGTTGACGTTTTTGACAAAAGTGTCAAATACAAATATGAAATTGTCAAAACTTTTCAAGTTAAGCCGCTTTCCAGCTGACATTGTGTTTGTGCTTCAAGCACGGTGCAGCACACTGTTCTGTGTTTGAAACGCAAAAGTTAGCAGCTCTCGAAGCGCAGTATACGGCTGGAACACGAACACGCGCTTGAAACATTTGCGTGTCCAAAAGCTCAATTGCGTGCTCAAAATGTTCAGCTGGAAAGCGGCTTTAGTCAGTTTTACGCATACAGGGTGCATCAAAAAAGTGTAGCAGAGCAAAGTTGTATTTTTTTAAATGGAAGACATATCATGTGCTTATTTATTAGTCCCCTTCAACCTGATTTCAACGATATACGGTTTGATATGTTGAGTGATTTTTGATTGATTTTTTTATTAACTTTTTTCTTATTTTAATGAGTAGGTACTAGTCCTAGAAGTTTGATCCCACTATTCATTAACATCCTGTATTTCTAAATATGAATGTATCGCGGGCTCTTGCAAACTAATCTATGTCTAAATAGCTATTATAGTTTCTCTTCTCTTGAAGATGTTAACATTGTTACTAAAACACTTGTCGAGAAAAGTACCTAATGCATTTTTGATTGGTGGTAAAACTGTGTTTAATATTTGATATCATAAAACCGAATGGATCTTTAACTATATCTAGATATTTAACGTTGAGTTATTTATTTTATTTGCTAACACAAAATAATTAATCAAACATATTTAGGTAATTCTATTACTCATAATTTGGCTTTTCACATTTGCACTTAGTTAGCATTAGTTTTTCTTTTTTCATCTTTTACATTGATCATCAATCGTTTAAAATTGAAAATCTATTTCGCATAATATTTTGTAACTATTATGGTAATTATAAAAAATATTCAATGTTGTTTTTATTCATGTTGAGACGAGCTACTTGAGTATACAATGTAATGTCAAAAGTGTTGTGCCCTGCACAGTGTGAAATCACATACGAGAATCAAAAAAGTGAGTAAGGAAGTTTTGGTATTGCAAACTCTTGTTTGTTTTATCTTAACCTAAAATTAATTAGCAATAGCTTTTGAATGGCCATGTATTAAAAAAAAATTAATTGATTTATATAGTATTTGAATAAACTTCGTACAAACGAAACCACTCCAAATATCTAATAAAAGATGAGCATGATGTATCTCCCATAATATATTATTCAAATATTTGCACCAATAAAAAGTGTCCACCCTGTACATTTGTTACAGTTTCAGTCTAACGGCTACATGTAAGTATATTCCAAACAATTATGTCTAATAATTATGCCTTAGAATGATTTGTTTTTTGTGTTTTAAAGTAAACTTTACAAGGCGACGTTGGCAATCGAACTCTTATTCGCAGGCCTATGGATGGCCGTAGCACCGAAACGGCCCCAATTTTTTTGCCAAAATTCGATCTACAGACTTAGATCTACAACACATAAGTAATTCAGAGATTTTGACCGATACCTATTTTCAATGGTCCAAGTGCGGGGTCCTTTAAGAACAATAATTATTTGAGTTGATTGGGTACGCACATTTAACCTAATATCAAACTAATATATCCTATGAACAATGTTTACTAGTAGGTACCTAAGTGATTTGACGCTTGTATCTTGCATGAACTAAGAACCTACATTCTGCATTAAATTTCATCTTAATGTGTATTGTTATGAGTTACCTATGTAGATTGCGACATTACCAAATCTACGTTATCCATAAGTTGGGAAGATGCCTCACAAAGAAATTGTCAGTCTCCTAAAGCTTGAAATAACACAGCCCTTAAAACTATTTTTCGTTTTCATTGATCAACCCCTGCATACTTATCAGGCAAAAAATTATTGTTTTGTTTATTAGGAATATTGAATGTGCTCAAGCAATGGTACACGCATATTTCAGAACGTTTCCTTAACCACAAGTGCGTACCTACTTGAACTCTGGAATTAAATTCTGATACTGAAAGATCAATTAATGCTAATAAACAACATATGTACGTGAGAGGCCTCAAAATGAAAACGTGGCTCGTTCAAATTCTCTTAGGAGAACAGAAACTTTTGCAATATCTGGAATATACCGAAGTAGTGTTTATTGAATTTTGAAATGTAATAATCCATTTTTACAAAACCCAATTAGTAGGTAGGTACCTACCTGAAGTTAATGAAAATTAATTCGACAAGAAGTTTGTGAGACCTTGCATCAACGTTAAATTTTAAATAATAACAATTTAAATTACATCACAACAATTGCTCTACTGAAGCCTCATTTTTCGTATATAGAGACGTTAATCGCCATAATGGCAGCTATTTGACAAACAAATCACGATAATCAAGATTTATTGCGAGAAAGGCTCAGGCAGCATCATGTCGAGCTTAACGCATCGGTTGGTAATAATACCTAAGAAAATGAAAATTTCAACGGTGAAACTTATTTTGAATTTCTTGAGAATGCATTTGACCCTGCTAATAAGCACCATAATGAAGAACATTATTTATTTGAAGAAGAAAATGTTATTCAACAAGATGAAGCCGCGGTTCCCGTGAGAAAAATCGATTTTATGAATATCTTTGATTTTATGAAAGATTGATTGTGAAGGCTCACAGGGCTCTATTTCCAAATTTGTCATATAAATAATTTTATTGAAATCATCCGTTTGAGAAATAGTGCTATGAATTGAGGATAACATTTAAATTTGGTTCTTTGATTTTCTTGGGTTTGCACTTATTCAGCAATTTTTTCCGAGTAATGTATTTAAAATTGATTATAATCTTAACATTTTTTCGGAACATTAGTTTATTATCCTAGAAGTATGTCATAATTTTAAAAAAATGCTACTTTTTCAACAAATTTTTGTTCTAAGACCAGATTATTCAATTACCTGTAAAGGCTTTCAACATCGAAAAATCCCTCAGTTGGTAGGCATTGTCCAAACGCAAGATCTGAAATGGGGAAAATTTGTTTATCTTCAGCAACTGGTAGGTATTTTGCAACAACAGTTGAATTAATAATCCGAATATTCATAATTTGGATAAAGTGCAAATTAATGTTGCAAAGTTATAGCCGGCAAGAGGCGCTCCTAAAATCCTGTGTACAAGATGCCAAATAGACGTGATGCATTTTATGATAGCGGCTTGCTTTTGAATTGAAAAGTATCCATTAAAGAGCAATATTAATCACTAACTAGGTTAAGTAGGTACGTAATTATTTATTGAAAAAAATCTTACCGTCATGGCACCATTCGTTTTCTAGACAGATACGTTCGCTAAATAGGCAACCTGAAATTGCAAAGTTTAAGATTACGTTGGAAATACTGATACATTATTATGAGGTACATTTTTATCAGGTTTAAAGTGTTACCTACCTACTGTAATTTGGATAAAACTATTACAATAAAAGGCCGGGTTAATTCACCTTCTGATATACTGTCAGGTTATGCAAACTGACAAATAAAAACACAATCTATAATAATAAATTGGTCGGCTATTTATCCGCCGACCAATAGGGTTATGGATCGGTGAATTTGTCTTGTAGAGACAGAAAAATACGTATCTGCAATAAAAATTACTCACCAACATTTCCCTCTGCCAGTATTCCAGGTGGTCCCAGTACAGCCAAAATAAGAAGCAGCAAAATAAGATGCAATTGTGGCCCTGGCCACGGCATGGCCTGCAACAATATAATGACAATTTTTATTTTCTTGAAAAATCGTTTCTCTGTAGAGAATCCTTGAAATGTTTAATCAAATATAGTAACGTTTTTTCGAGAATGTCTAATAAACCTTTTAAATGTTCCAGACAGTAATAAACTTGTTTACCCCGTTAAAGTCCATTTGATATTGCTCTTTAAGGGCTCTTATAAAAGATATTAAACGCGGAAGCGGCAGCAATTATTTTTTTCCATTAGTTGAAGTATATCCTACTTACACGTTCTTGAAGAAAGTACAATGGACGCACTAGTTATATCACGTCCTCTATTAAAATGCTTTTTCTGCTTTACAGCAAAATACGCATTATTGTATTTACCTAGGATAGTTAGTCAGTTGAAAATAATTAATATTGATTGATAAACCAACCTTCGGTTTCTGACTTGTTTACTGGAGCAGTTGACAAGAACATGTTTTTTTCGGGACTGATTCTTGGTTTTTCGAGATCCGGACTAACCGGAAAAAAACGGACCTACGTTAATTGTTCACTGTGAGATGTCAGAGTGGCTTTCTAGATATCGAAACACCCAGTTCAACGTGAACCTGCTACCTCGGAGTAATGGGAGTTTGGATCCAAACTGTCTGATTTTCGCAAGGAACAATCACCATTTGGACGGACCATTAATGCTTAAAGCACATTCCCTAATAATCAACTTAAACCTATTTTAATAAGGCATTTTGCAAACTAACGCGACGAAACTTGTTTAAAACGCGATTTAGTATTGCATAGACAACAAAATGGTGAAAAACCTAGCTAATTTTATGATCACATTTAACATATTTTAAATATATTATGTTCCTAGGTGAATATCCATGAAACATAAAATAAATGACGCTGCAAAATAGCTGAAACCTAATTTATACAATTATTTACAACTCTACAATTTGTTACCGATGAACATAACACTCAATACTTTCAGAATTTGTCTGAACTACATATCTACATAAAAACTCATACAACACAATAAAGCAAACACACAATTCAGAAACACACATTTTAACCCAGGATTTGATAGCCAAACATCTAACAATTTATTTACGGCTGAACCAACATTTTCATCCCAGCTTCTTCCTATAAGTCCAAATTGTATCAAAATCCCGCAGAGATTTCCTACCAATTCCCAAGTAGGTTTTTTAAAATAAGTCCAATATAAACTCAACAAATGCATTCAAATAGGTACAATCAAAATAGAATTTTCCCAAACCAAAATGTCAACAACTTCAAGACTAACCCAAACTCTTAATATCAATCCTCAACAACCTTTTAGAAATTATGTCTAGTCCAATCAGCCGAGTAATTTCATAGCTGAAGAGCTATATAATACGAATGTAAATGATGACGTTAACGAGCGTGTTGTCCCCCCTATACGATTCATCTAATTTTTACCAACTATATCATTCCGAATCTTATTCGACTCCCACTATGCTGAACCTGCTGATGACAATAATGCAACTGGTTACTCTTACGATAACGCAAGTTTTCTGAATCCTGCCTCGGAAAAATCCCAAACATAGCCCTTGAAATATTATCATTAAGTAATACAAGCGAGATGCCATGCATTACATTACCAGAACACAATTTAAAAATTTTAATAGATGGCCGTTCCAAATCATTTATAAATCCGGAACTAGCACAAATATTTTACTCAAATAATATATTTGATGGCCCATTTATTGTCTCATCCCTTTTTCAACAATCGATACATAAGTACGGTGCTCGAATACCCGCTCCTAAAATCTTTAAAATATGATGAACCTCAAACATTCTGCCTATTCAAATTTTACAACATAATCGATTTTATTTAACCAGGGCTTAGTACGGGCTAAAATCACCAAACTGTTTGAATACTTAGATGTATTTTATTAAAAAAACATGCCGCTGACATTTACAAGTGAAATAAGAAATTCAATTAAAACAATTCCTACGTGTGCCATTTAGGGCTGAAGAACGCCCCAGACACTTTCCAAAGGAATTCAGAATGAAAAATGTCTGGTATACCTCGACGACATATATATTTTCCACGTCGTACAAGAGCAGTAAGAACGACTCAAATTAGTTTTTCAATGATTGTGTTAAACCAGATTCAAAATTTAGTTGGATAAAATTGAATTTGTCAGACGAATAGTAGCATATTTACGCCAAATAGTGACACTAGATGGAGTACGACCCAATCCAGATAAAAAGATACCCAATTCCGAGACTACAAAGCAGATTAAGGGCCTTCTAGGACTCCTTGGATATTATAGTGGTTTTATAGATAATTATGCAAAAATCACGAAACCGCTCACGGAAAATTTCAAGACACTGCTTGCAAATGGACCAGTACTACAATAAATAGACCAGTGGTTCCCAAACTTTTTTAACCTACCGCCCACTTTTAGAAAATGGGAATTATCCAACGCCCCCCTTGGCAGGGATCCAAGATATTAAAGCAGCGCCATTTTTTTTGAAAATTTTCATGGTGGTGCATTTTCCTGGCGAGGGACTGAGCGTCCAAGTTCCCAGAAGGATTTTGTCAGAAAATTTTGAGAAAAATCGGATACAGCACAATTCAGCACACTTCAGATTGCATAAGAATCCATTTTTGTTTCAATCTTATTTCCAAAATTTTGGGAGGCTGACCGTCAAGTTAGTCCCCCCAGTAGGATTTTGTCAAAAAATTACCGAACATAGAAATTTTGAGAAAAACCTGATACAGCACAATCTAGCACACTTCAGATTGCATAAGAATCCATTTATGTTTGATCTGCTTTACAATTTTTTTTTTTGGGGGAGGGGCTGAGTGTCATGTTAGCTAAGAGTCCATTTTTGTTTCATGTTATTTCCTAAATTTTGGGGGGTGCGCGTTAAGTTAGTCTCCCAATAGGATTTGGCCTGAAAATTACCGAATATGGGAATTTCGAGAAAAACCTGATACAACACAGTCCAGCACACTGCAAATTGCATAAGAATCCATTTTTGTTTCATCTGATTTTCAAAATTTTTGAGAGCTGAGCGTCAAGTTAGCACCCCCAGTAGCATTTTGTCGGAAAATGACTGAATATAGAAATTTTGAGGAAAACCTAATACAGCACAGTTCAGTACACTTATTCAGATTGCATAACAATTCATTTTTGTTTGATTGGATTTCCAAAATTTCGGGGGGGCTGAGCGTCAAGTTAGCCCCTCATCTTGTTTTTCCTATAACTTTGGTATCAGAACAGCGCAGTTCAAAGTGGTTGCAATTTTGTTAGAAAATTGGAATGTGGGGTGGCTAACTTGACGGAGCTTATTTTTGAGCTTTTTGAAGTTATTTATAAGTAAAATACAATAACTTTATGGCAGCTGCTGCTGATCAATGCGCATATTAGCGGTATCGCATTTTAAGCAAGTCATAGCAGACTTAGTTGAGGTGTGTGCGGGCTTCGGGATTTGCGTCGGAACTCTCGGGTTGCGTCGGAACTCTCCGGTTGCGTTCATAACTGGAAGCTTGCCAAAATTGACTCCGAAAGGCATAGACATAGACTATCAGCCTTATCTTTATAGTATTGAAGAGTAATTTCCGTAAAAAGCCATTCACTATTCAATTTTAATTTTTTTTCTGATCTGTTCGGTTATTTTCCACCGCCCACTAATTTATGATTACCGCCCCCCAAAATCAGCTGAGCTCTTTACCGCCCCCCGAGATGGTTGTAGCGCCCACTGGGCGGCGTTATCGCCCACTTTGGGAACCACTGATCTAGACTTTTCGAAGAGATTTAAGTTAACATGTGATGCTAGTAACGTGGCCCTAGGTGCTGTGTTATCACCAGGCCTCATTGGACAATATTTGCCTATAGCCTACGCATCTCGCACCTTGAATGATTCAGAACAAAATTATTCCACCATTGAATATGAACCATTCTTCGAAGTAGTTAGAACAAAATTTAAACGGCCGTCAATTAGACCAAAAGATGTTTGAAAAAATTAATTGACGAAATAGACAAACAAAGCATACTGGAAATAATACAGACCTACCATGAGAGTAAGAGAAATCATAGCGGAATCTAGGAAACCGAAGTATCGACGTAGGTATTAAAGATAATTCTACTGTTCTATTTCTCTTTTAATCAGTCGTACATTATTGAATGCGAAAATATGCCAACGAAGTAAATACCTACGAGCGGCATCCACTAAAAAGTAGAATAGAATTAGAATATAATAGTTCAGTTAAACCAGCAAAGGATTACAAACGATTTTACTCCACTAGTGATTTTGAAACATTTTTGAGAAACTGCCGGCAGACAGACTGGACCGAAACTGGTAGATGTGATGATTCTTTGTCTGGATTTCATTCTGCTTTGTTGAACATTTTTTACAGATCCTTTCCGCTTAGAATTAGTGTAAGAGTAAAAAACTATAGATTAAAAAGGGTATAAGAGTATCGGCTAGAAATATGCGTTCTTTGCATTATGTTAGGAAGTTTTATTTGGGGAATGACGATTTTATGCTTTTCTCTAACAAATATCGTAAAATATATAAGCAAGTAGTTAAAGCCGCTAAGCAAATATATTTTAGAAATAGAATAGTTATGGCTGGTAACCAACAAAAGGAAGGAAACATGGAGAATTGTTAATAGCTTAAGAGAAAAAAAGAATACTTCATCAATGGACTCAAATTTGACTGCCACTGAAATTAATAAATTTTATTGTTCGATTGCTTCTTCTCTTTGTTCAAATCACTTACACTGGTATTCATAGTCAATCGCCAGCGAGTCGCCAGAGAGTCGCCGTATTTCACCCAACCCACGGCGACTCTCTGGCGACTCGCTGCGATTCACTATGAATACCACCAATAGACGTGTCGGAGTCCTTCTTCTTTAGACCCACTACAACACAAGAAATCAGAGACACCTTGAAGGATATCAAAAATAAAAATTCTGCGGGATGGGACGAGATTACTCTGAGGTTGTTTTTTCATTTGCCTGAAACAGATCTTGGGGTG